TCGTCGTCGTCATTAGTTAATCTGCTGTCCTTTTGATTTCTTCAAATTTGTTGTACAGTCATACATAATCTGACATTCTAAGGGTCACCAACATCGTTGTGATGCAATGATTTCCCATTCCAGACCACGTTTAAACCCCTTGAGAATAAGATTCTAAATTATATTTTCGCGAATGACACGTGGTCTGTTATCAAAAAAATCACGAATAAGGTCTATGAGGGGATCCTTATAAGGCAACGATTCTCTCCGGACAAAGGTGGAAGGTTGCTTGACGGTCCTAAGAACACCTGCCTAGGAGGGTAGCTTGCTCTAGACTGCGGATATAAAACCCCTCAGTAAAACTGTTAAACTGACAATAGGCAATAGAACCCTTGGATTTATTTCCAATGCAAGTCAATTTGGAGGACAGAACAATGGAATTTTGCTCTCCTGAGAATTAAAATCCATTGTTTTGTCCCTCAAATTGAGCTATTCTGGGAATTAATTCAAGGGGTCTATTCAGATATTTAAGACTGGCGTGTCTTCTGTTCGCTAGAGTTCATATATACTTACCTCGTATTCGTCCACCGACCCACCCTGGATCAGCAGTTCATCCCAAGAYAGTGTCACGCTGTACGGAGTAACACTGACAACTCTAAAATTCTTTGGAGCTACTCTCGGAGGATTTTGTCCTGAATACGCCGTAACTACTGAACTATTCGGACCCATTCCGATCTCGTTTTGCACTTGTATTTTGATATTAATAAGCTGATAGTTTCCTAGTTTATCTACGTCAATTGTGGTTGAAGAACATGAGGTGTTTTTCGGTGACAATGTCCATCTAGAYATGTTGTGGAGTTTGTGGTAGACTCGGATAACGCACCTACTACCATTCCACTGGATCTTGGGAAAGGACTGAGAGACAAGCAAAATCAGTGAYCCCGTGTCATGATGTTAACACGTGACATGAGGTTAACAAGGGATATTTTGGTGACGTAGCATGATGGTGTCACGTGATATAATTGTAACACTTGACGGTCACGATTTACGTACCTTCCAAGTAACATTTATTCCACCGCTTATCTTCAATGGAACAGCCTTTAAGCCTTCGGGAATACTAGTTGGTTCTACGAGAAGAAATAAGAAATTCATTAAAATATGCAAAAGGTCTGTTGAGGTTCTGGTATTGTTTTCTTGGTTTCTAGCCTTCCACAACTGTAGATTACACAAACAATAGATGGGATTGACTTCCTTTCGCCAGTGCCCAAAAGCGCGTGTTTATGCTACCGTCACACGGACATTAATGACACCCTTTGATYCAATATAATAGCACTGTACATAAGATCACTGCTCATGTTATTTTGATAAAATACGTTGATAAACGAAGTATATCACCGTCATGTTACGATACGGTACGTCTAGCCGATGCCATTTTATCATTATCATCATCATCTTCACCATTACCATCATCATCATCATTATTACCATAATCATCATCGTCATCATCATTGTCATCATCATCATCTTTATTACCATCATCACCATCACTATCATCATCATTGTCATCATCATCGTCATTAGTATATGTAATAGGACTCCATGCTGTCCAATTAAGAAATAATTGGACGAAAAAAATTCCGAGGACTTCCAAATTTGGATGMGGCCGTAGGCCGAGTTCAATTTGGCAGTCAGAGCAATTTTTTAAAGTCTAATTATTTCTTGATTGGGGATCATGAAATCCCATTACCTATTAATTATATAGCTACCTAATTAATCCCATATCAACAAGACCTGTCCAATTAATGATGGTAATTGAACTGAGTGGAGTGCAATTTGGTCTGAAATCAAACGCGCGATTACAAAATCGCAAGTTTGATTTCAGACCAAAATTGCACTCCACTCAGTTCAATTACCACTTAATCATATCCTTTTTGTAATCATACACAAGAAAAAGACACAATAAAGAGTGCAGAATAATCAATTTAATGTAGCGGAAGAACTAAATGCGAACAAAAAAAACATCTAAAAAAATTTTTTTTGTTGATTTTTTTTGTTTTATTTTGTTGTTTAAAAAAAATTTTTTTTTTTAGGATGCGATTAAGAGCTCCTATGGATAGCTCCTAAGGATGCGATTTGGGAATTAATCGCACTCCTTTGAACCAATCAGATTGCAGGATTTGGTAGTGATTACAAAAAGGATATGATTAAGAAAATAATTGGACAGTTACCTATATGGGGTTTAATGGGAAGCTGTATAATTATATTATTTATCAGAAAGTATTTAAGGAAACGAGAAGTGGTCTAAAATATGAAAACATTTAGCTCAAAATAGAGAGGTCTGCTTGACTTACTGGTTGGCGGAGTTATACACGGGTTGGACAGCCTGCTCGGTAAACTACTTCCAAGGCTATTAATAGCCTTCATTCTGAACGAGATATTTGCCCATGGACTTAGTTCTTCTATTCCTACTCGTCTTGCATTCGGGTCTTTCACTTCCTTGACTTGTTTGAATACATTCGGTTCATAGGTGTTCCCTATTTCAATGATGAATGAGGAGACTGGGATTTTTGGTTCAGGTTTTATGTTCCAGGAGAGTGTGGTAGTRAATTTGGAGCAGTCGGTGGCATTTAAAGATACGGGAGGTAACGGTGCACCTAAAAATCAAAGTATATTTTCAATCGGACCTTTTTGGCTTTGGCATATCTTTACGTGTCATTCTCTTGAGAATAAGATTATTTGTTTGAATTGAATCCAAATTCATGTGTCTTCTGATGCACAGCCATTAAACAAAGAAAATATACTATAGGGAATGACACGTGGTTTGAAATTTGAAAACATTTTGCCCAAGGTAAAGAGGCTTAGGCCTAGGGCAAACGTCGAACTTTCCATGCACCGAACTCATTAAAAACAATGGATATCAGGTGATTATGAGGCAGCATTCTTTGAAGAAATTAAGTTCGGTGCATGGAAAGTTCGACGTTTGCCCTAGGCCTTATTAAGAAAGAAAGACACCAAATATTTCTCATACAATGTGGAACAATCTGTATTTTATCTCACCAATGACATAAACGTAGTGATGACTTGCTGTAATTCCATCGACGAAGCACTGGAATACTCCTGAGTCACGTGGTTCGGCTGATTTGATGGTGAACGAACCGTTTGGATGAAAGGACGCACGGTCGAGAAACACTGAGCTAAAGAAAACAATTAAGGTGAATGTTATTTTAAATAAAAAATAAACGAAACATAAGAGTATGAAAATATGAATGAATGAAAAGAATAGTAATGATTCGACGTATAAAGGAAGAAAAATAAATAGRAGAAAAAAATTATGTAGATTTTCGTACTTGATTTGGCTGCTAACGCTTACTCCATTGTAATACCAGCGAAAAGGATAGTTAGAGGGTTGTGTGGCGTTCATACAATCTAAAGTGATTGTTTCCTTGTGATTGACATAATACTTCCCTGTCGTTGGGTCTGGAAGGTAGAATCGATCAAATATCAATACACATGAATGGTGGCAAATTTCAGGAGAAAGGAAGTTCGGAGACTCCGAATGAAATCCCTCGAATCAAGGGAGAGTCCTAACAAACTCTAGTAACATAGACCTTTTCTGAAGATTGCGAACATGGTGCATTGTGGTCTAGCTTGGGTAAAYGCCACTAAAGCATGATGAACAAAAGAGGTGTGTACCGAAGCTGGACCACGATGCACCATGTTCGCTATCTCAGAAAAGGTCTATGTGAAGCCAAGACCCAAGAGGTAAGGGGCGAGTGTACTAACGCTAAAACACCCTCTTGTATCCCTGAAAGGGTCTATTGGCCGGTAAGGGGGTATCGAAATACTTACCTATGACTCGAATAGTCATCCCAGACTCAGTTCTCGTTCCATCAGGGTTTTCAGTCTTATAACTATATTTTCCTTCCACACTTCTGTCGGCGGTATTGATCCGCAGTGTACGGTTGTAATTATATAGCCTAATTATATTGTTTGAGATGACTGGAGTAGAGTCCTTAAGCCATATCAGGGTCACTGGTGAACTGCAATGTTGATTGAAAATATTACAATATAAATGGTCACTGCTAGGGTTGAGGTTACCCGAACAAAAGTGTTGAAACATCGATATCGAACCCTGAAACAACCTCTGGGCTGATCTAAGTCAGGGCATGGCTAACTSACAGACTGAACCCTGAAACAACCTCTGGGCTGTTCTAAGTCAGGGCATGGCTAACTCACAGACTGAACCCTGAAACAACCTCTGGGCTGTTCTAAGTCAGGGCATGACAAACTCACAAATGGAATTGGAATTTAGCGAACCAAAGAACCCAGAGCAAAACCCTGGAATCAAGGTTAGAAATTAGCTGAATAAATCATCTCGCGTAGTTTCAATTCGATCTCAGTTAGTAGACTACTTCTGAAGTTATCCAACCTACTGTAAAGTTGCCTTAGAGTTTGATGATTTATGTTTTGCCCCTTCTATTAAGATCACGCAGATTAAACACGGTTTTCTGCTGCTATTGGCCAGTCAATAAATCCCAGTTTCCGTCCAGGTATACTAGGAACACCTGGATGCAATGCGCTGTTCTGCTAATGCACCTATCTTAGTATCGCATCAAGTAAATTTAAAGTTAGCTTTCTCTAATCTTTAAAAATGAATTTTATTACCGGCCGGAAGGAAAGCAGTGAAAATCCTTCGTTACATATATATTCGCAGGAAGGTAGACTGCTGTCGAAGGTGGCTTCTTGACAAACGTAGTTTGAAATTCACCGTTATCTGAAATGATATAACATAGGTTTGGTCATTTCTGGYTGAATGCTCATATTTATACCAAGAACAAACTTACTAGTACTTCACTGATTTATTTCACTGTCCACAAAGATAGAGACAAATCAATATAACCTTTCGTGGAGGGGAAATTCGTAAAAGTCCCGAGGGCGCAGCCCGAATACGCCGTGCAGTATCGAGTTMGTCTCTGTCTCGATTTGTGTAGAATATTCATGTGTTCTAGTGAGTCCGTAGAATCAGTTCAAAGTGTTAGTATCGTTGGAGAATTGTATTCTTTACTTTACAGTTGTTATATGTTTAGCAGCTGCAATCTTAGACAGCAGTCTTYCTTGATCGACATTGTCATGGAAACACTTTGATTGACGTCAAAATGTACTTTGCATCGCTGACTGCGTCGCGAGTCCAATTGGAAACATGCGGTGGGGGGGGAATCTCTATATTATATGTACCTCTAACTTTCTTCATTTTAACAAGACCTGATTTAACAATAAGTGGTTTCCCCTGACCACCCATCCAAAACATGCACTGTATTCCATTTGACGCAGCAGCTACGTCATCCTCGGTCACGTGAGTAAARTAAAGGGTTCCGTCCTCTTGTGACATCATCACTCGAGGTTCTGGGAAATTGACTTTTGAACCGGTCGTGGAGTTGATCCATCGGTAATACATTCCGTGGCTGTAAGTGTGCTCTGGGCATCGTATTGCAAGTTTGTTATTGAGWGTCACGTTRTAAGTGATGGGTAAATTATTGATGAATGATCCAGTAACTGCGAAAAAAATCAAAGTCAATAATTAATATGGGTTTTTAAATGCTAATTTGAAGAACTAATGACGTAACGATGAGAGCACTTGTTGTCTCTCACCAAGGCTGTCCGGATTTGAAGCCTTCACATTTTATCAAACCCTAAAACAACATCTGGACTAAAYAAAGGACTGTTTGAAATCTTTTTTTACGTACCTATTATCTTTATTTGCACTCTAGGACCAAGTGTAGTACCKAAGTCATTCGAGATGCGACATTGATAAACACCTTCATATCTATAGAAAATAATAATAATGTTAATAATGGAGTTCTTATATAGCGCATTTTTCGCATTGTCTCAATGCGCTTTACATGCATTGGAAGACTTTACGGGCTGCATGAGTGATTTGCTAGTACATWAGTGTTATGCCTCCAAATTGGGATAGTCTGTTGAACAGGGACACAATGATCCCCTATTCTTATACGAATAATTCAACAGGTTCTTTTATGTCCCCCATTTTACTGTTGGTTAGGAAGGGTTGGGAGACAGGGACTATGGTTTTAAGTCCTTGTCCGAGAAGACTTGAAGGTCTTACCATTTGCAGATGTAATTACAAAGGCAGCACCTTTTCCTAAGTTATTTTAAGACCCTGAGTGTTGGTGCAATCGAGGAGTAGGGATGGAAAGTTCAACAGGAGTGTARGAGCTACTAGGGCTTGTAGAGATCCTTCGCCTATCTGTACCATCAGGTATTTGTCGGTACGTTAGGATATCAATACATATGAGGGTGTAAAATCTGGACTAAGTGACTCTTATGACTTTCAAGGTAACAGATGAGTCGTCAGGCTCTGTGAATAAAGGCTTTGCACCATCACGTGATGGCAGCCATGAAAGGAGGCAGGAACAATTGAATCTGGTCTAATCTGATTTACATGAGAAAGAATTATGTGTGTTTACCTGGGGGAAAAGGCTCTATTGTTGTGCGCCTTCTTCCATGGCTGCCTTACGTGATAATACAAAGAGCATGCGTAACTTGTCCACGGTTTCTAGTTGAGCTGGCTCATATTTTACGCCACTTGAAGTAGTTGTGAAAGGCCCATTGGCCCTCTTCTTCAGTCGTTTCATACAAGGCTAGTAATTTACCTATTACGCATGTTCTTATATGATTTCCGAGCCCATCCCACACGGCTTACTGCCTCATCTATCTGATAATACAAAGCTTAATTTGGGAAGGAGGCGAGCKCGCGCGTTATTTTGTGCGAAAATTCCCGCCAAATCCGCAGAGCCCAATCAACATAATCCATCGAAAGGACCATTTAGTCGCAACGACATTTGTTCTGTTATCCCGACACAAAACAACGATCTCTCAAAAATGAGCGAGTTTATGACTTTGTAGYTGTTTACCTGGTTTTGTTTTGGCTTGTATTTATAGAAATAATAAGTAGTCCACTGTATATATTCACTCTGCTGTCTTTTGCAGGGTCCAGTAATATGTCGTTCAACGTCCACTGTGTTGTATAGCTTCCTGTGGCTTTATTAGTAGGACACCGAAGTAATAAAGATTGAAGAGGCCATATTCCGTTCGTACCAACTCTATCTTGGAAGAAATTTCCAACGTATCGCAACCCGATGTGATCAATGCCCAAATATTTTTCCATCGCTAAAAGAAATAARATAAGCTCAGTTTGTCGGGCACCGACGTGTTGTGTGGGAKGTCTTGGGTTCAAGCCTCAAATGTACCAACACAGGTTCAGGATCTTAAAATGTCTGAGTAGAAGGTGATCCCTTGGCTCTAACATTTTCTGAAAATTATTTCTTTATCGTGTAACCCATTCTAAATATTACATTGATCGTTCGATATTTCTTCCCCAGGGAGGAGGGGTAAGAAAATATCTGCAAAGGATCGATAGGAGTTACGGTAAAGGTGTACTAATACGACTTGAATTTTGACGAAACTCGCACCACGTCCCCAACCATGCGCAGGAAAGTAGAAAATAATTAGTTGCAGACAAGAGAAAATGAATTGAGAGAGGAATCAAGCGCCCCATCATGAGCACTCTTTGATTGCTATTTTCAGATAGCAAATACGATTCTAAAAATAGCATCAAACAGGGCCTATGATACATACATGAATACCAGAGATTCCTTCACTTAGTTTTCTCCCTCGTCCTCAATCCCCTAGAGCCGCCACGCAGGCTACTTATTGCAGGGCTTTGCAGGGCTAAACTCGTTTAACCTGCTTAAACTTGTTTCTACTTTCTGTGAGGTCTTGCGGTGCGATCTTTCTTATCGAATGCGCCCGTCACGGTCTCCGGGGCTCGTGTCTTTAATGGGGGTTTAAAGTCCAAAAGAAATGATTTTGTCCATGAAATACATATAGCGCAATGGACGTAAACAGCCACTAACGCATGAAAGCATGAAACGTAGAAGGGACTCCACTATGATGTAAATGGTATAACTGGACCTTTCCAGGGCTCCCATTTGATGAGAGTGTCCTTTTGGCCACTGCATGAAGTAATTACCCTGTATAAATAAAGGGTTTCATTCTTTTCATTCATTCTTTTTTTCCCCGATTCTTTGCTCAGAAAGATACTTACAAATTTCACACTGACTTCCCGTGAAAGCTTTGAGACAGATGCATTTTCCTTCGACACAGGACCCTCCATTCGCGCACTGAGGCGAACATATAAGACCTGGAGTTGGATCTGGAAATAGTAAGCGATTCATTGTCAGTTTCAAAGATCTCATTTATAATATTTTTCAAAATACTTAAAAGTATTATTGATAAATTATACTGAAAAATTCGCTAATAATACTAAGAAAAACTAAGTAGAGGGAGACAGCATCGCAGTAGTAGCTCATGCCATTTACGTTTTATTTTATAAGTACTCATACCTTGACAAATTGAAGGAACAGCCAACGAGATAAAAATGAGGCCAATGACCAGAATGTCACGTGATGGTCCCAGACGAGATGGCATCTTACATATAAGATACTATCTGCATRAGAAAATATTACGTGGAAACTGTTAGAAGAACTTGAAAGAAACAAAGGAATGA